TCTATTCTCACAAACTGCCCTATAGCATGACCTTTGGATTCAGACAGCACTTGGTTTAAGCTCCACCATGAATAACAGTGAGCTAGTTAGTCTTTCCAAAATTCAGTTTCATATGTGAAACCAGGTGTATACCATTATATGTACTTTTAGGACTGTTGTTAAAATTAAGTGAAATAATGGATGTGAAATGTCTGGCACACAGAAAACAATAGATGCTATTGTTGTTGTCACCATTGTTAACTTTTCCTACAGTGACTTTTTAGCTTCATTATGTTACAAATAATTTGTTGAGTGCTGATGATCTGTCTTTAGATTGAACTTATGGGAATTTGTTAGTCATTTTTACTCAATGGGGCTGTGACAACATGAGATTTTAAAGCATTAATAAAAAGAAAGAGTGTTGGGAAAAGGTTCAGAGATTTGCACTGATAAGTTAAATTTGCAAGTAGGAGGGAGTTCAGAAAGGTGAAAAGTAATACTCATTAGAAGGCATTTAGTAAAATATATGGTGATGGAAGGAGAACAGACTCTGGGTGGTGAACACACACTGTATATATAGATGATGTATTACAGAATTGTACACTTGAAACTTATGTCATTTTACTAACCATTGTCAACCCAATAAATTTTAATTTAAAAAAAAAGGCATTTAGTTTCCAGCACAGCAACTAACTAGTTGTATTGACCTTGTCAATTCACTAGTCTCTGTATCTCACTTTTCTCATCTGTAAAATAGATGTCCAAATGCATGAACGATATCCTTTCCATTTCTTATCTTTTTGAAGTAGTTTTGTTTTGTTTTTAAATACAATGTAGAGAAACACAGGCTACAAAAGCCATTTTTATCTCAAACAGGTGCATTCAAAGACAAAAAACACTGCTATAATGTTTTAAACAAATAGCCTCTCTGTGTGTGTGAGTGTGTGTGTGTGTGTGTGTGTGTGTGTGTGTGTAAAACCCTACATATAATGTAAAATACTAAGTAAGAATTTGAGAAAAATATTGTTTCTTAAGGAAAAAAAAAGACATTTTTTTCTTATTTGGTACTTTGTTCACAAAATATATAATCACAACATAACATCCAGGCTAAAATACTCACTGATTACAAACTACTATTTGTTTTGCACAGGGAGCCAGTGTTTCACTGTTTAATATCAATAGCTACCACTGAGCACATATACACTGCCAGGAACTATGCTAAGCACTTTACATTTATTATTTCACTAAATGCTCACAAAGAAACTTATGAAGTAATTAATATTGCCCGTCATTTAACAGATGAGAAAGCTGAACATCCCAGGTTTGACTAACTTCCTTAAAATCACACCAGTGGGGGATGGCAGGCTAGAACACAATGCCAATCTGCAAGGCTCCGAAATGTAGTTCAACAGTTCACTATACAGCCCTCTCCCAAATAAGTTTCATGCACATGAGCATACATAGCCCTACAGAATAATGAAAGGATAAAAAAACCATCAGAAACTTCAAAAAACTAAACAAAAAATGACATCCATGGGAAAGAGAATGAATATACTCAACAAAGAAAGGAACCCACCTTCGTGGCCTATGACAGATCTGGAAGCTGTCTGAAAGCTAACGATTCCTGCCACATGGTCATTGGCCAAAATGTTCACTCTAACAGTGTCGGAGCTGGGCAAAATTCTACTTCCACCTTCAGTGTACACCAAACTAACTATGATGCTTTCGTCGTCCTCTGGCTCAGAGTCATCCAAAATGGTTAAAATGGCTGTCTTTTTGGTTTCACCTATAAAAAAAAAATTAATGGAATAATAACCAAAGTAACAAAATCACCAACATTCATAAGGGATTCACAAAGGCCCAAAATGACTTTGATTTTAAAAAGGTAAATAAAAAATATATAAGTGAATTATAATAGTTCACTATCATGAACAATATTAGTGTCACTATAAGCAAATGTATGTTAATCTGTATGTCCTTTCACATATAAAACATGGTAAAAATGTATTAGTATGGACAGATTGTGGAGGACATCTTGAATTATGGAAAATTAAAGGGCAGAATTATTTCAAAGAATCATGGTTTTATTCCTGGTCTTCAGCCTAAAACAAAGACTTGGCGAGGGAAAGAGCTTCTAAAGCATCTTCTGTTTAGAAACAACTCCCTCCAAGAGAGGGGAATCTCATTCTCCTTGTGGTATTACTGTGAATAATTTTCAAGCCAAAATCTCTCTGAAAGGAACACTTAGGGGATGGTGGTCAAAATGGGAAACAGAAAAGAGATGACAAATTCTGAGTGAAAGAATCAGCCATAAGAGATTAGTCTTTTGGTAACTAGATGAGATGGCAGCATCAAATACCAGTTTCCAGGATGTAGGGCAATGAAACAAGGAGGCAGAAGAGGTATTCAAAGGCTGAGTGACAGTGACAAGCAATGTACTTTGCAATTTGCTCTAGGATCCCAAGAGTACTTAGGGCATCCACCACTAAACACCCCTAAACATAACACTGTTTCTGCTCTTCAGCCTATGATGTCTCCCACCTAATTCTTACCCACTTTCTGGAAAGAGGATGAAAGAGTGACAAAATGCAGGAAAAAGGAGAAAGGAGATATGAAAGCATGTTCTCACTCTCATGACCTGGTGCATTTCATCAATTCAGAGTATCAAGACTGCCTCAAAAACTAAAGATTATCTAAGAATCGAGGTTAGCTATACAATATAGTCAACTTTGTTATGCTAAAGTTACCATCCAAGGTAATACTAATTCATATACTGCTATCACTTTATAACTTTCTTTGTAGTTACTAAAGCCATCGGAAAAATCTAACTTTATCTCCCTCATTAAATTTTCATTCCCCATGCAAAAATGTGTGTGTGTGTGTGTGTGTGTGTGTATGTGTGTGTGTGTGCATATATATTTTAAATATATGAACTTTCCAAACTTTTAAATATTAGATGATTCAACCATCTTTGAAAAAGAATCAGTAACTCTGATTCTAATTTCTTGGCCAAGTTATCTATAATTATATTGTTCATGAAAATTTACAAGAGTGATCCCATTCAAGTCTAAGAACAGTATCAAACTGATCTATCACTTGACATAATTTAATATGAATGAAGTCCCCAAAGTTCATATTAAGTATACTTATAAATTATTTTCACTAAAGAGTTATTCTGATTTGTCTAATGCATATTACAGATTCCCAGTTAATACTCATGTTTCTAGGTACCAATACTTCTTAGCCACATGTTCGGTTGTAGACTCATGGCTCATTCTTGTAATTTCCCTTATAAAATTAAACCTTTCCTTAGAGTTGCCTCTCTGTTTACTTAAAGGCACTGCTATCACACACAAAGGGATAAAATTCACACATCCCCTAAAACTCTTCTTTGTTTACTAAACTAAAAGGACACATATGTAGGGCCATGTCAGCCTATATATGTCATGTCAACCATTAACAAGCCAACTAATTTCTACAAATATTTTTTTCAAAACATATATACTTTTAGCAAGAACATACATAGTACATAAGAACTCTTGTGAACATTATCATAAAAACTGAATATGATGACTTTACCAGAGCGAAGTAAAATCCATTTAGAAACATGACTCACCTTCAGCAAAAGTCAGAGTGTCTCCAGCACCTATAAAATCTAAACCTTCAGTGGCAGTTCCACCAACAACACGCCATTCAACTGTCACCTGACCTAAGCTGCCCACTGTCCTATGGATCATCAGCTCCACTATGGTTTGGGGCCGCTCCTGTACTTCGACATATAAGCCATCTTCTGAGGTATTGGGATTAATACTGTAGATCACAAACACTCCAAAGGCATCACCATTTAATGCTATGACAACTGTAGAAGTATTTGGCTGTCCTATGGTTGGCTGGTTTTCAACACTGGCTGTGATGTTCATGAGGTGAACTTCAAGGAGAGAAATTAGGAAACTCTCATCCATCTCTGGGAAATCATCAGGAAGAACAGAAACTGTGAGATTTGCAAATTCATCACCTTCCAGCATTATGGCCCATTGCCTTGTCACAGGCTCATAGTCACTACCAACCACAGCCTGACTGCTAAAAAGAGACGCTACCCTGGTCATGTTTTTCCTGTAGGTCCAGAAGTCTGAGTGGTTAACAGTTGGACTGATCCACGATGTCATCCAAAAACACTGTGGACCCTCAGAAGCGCTGAAAAATGAAAATGCTGAGCACGCGTGTTCTTTGAGGCACAAAGTAGCACAAGTATACTGGGGTTTGCCCATTGCAGAGACATTCACCCAAGTTCTCCAAAGCGGGTCAGGTACCCCTTGAATTGGCGATTCATAGTAGGACAGTAAATCTTGACCTTCCTCAACTGCAAGAGCCACTACATCAATATCGGAAGTACTGTAGAACAACAACAGCCGACCAAAGTGCCCTCCGCTAAAACGTGGAGTGACAAAAGACAGGTTAAGCACTCAAAACAATGTGTGGATTACACAGAGAAGAGAAATGCTGATTGCACTTTTCGCTTTTTTTGAAAGTGTATCACGTACTTGTACAAACACAACCATGTTTCTTAATTACATTTGACTTTCACTGTTTTGTTTTCTCATGAAAGGAAACCTTGCTAGTTTTCTATCAAACAATACTTTTTTTTTAACCATGCATCTTGCAAGGTATGCAAATCATATCCATTTTAAAATTATCCAACAGAATTAGAAAATTAATTTCCATTATTAGATCTCACTGAAAAAAAAGTAACAATGATAATAGCATGAGTATACCTTGAGGAAATATAATTACTTGCTAAAAGGTCCATAGACCCCATATTTTCTATTTCTGAAGGAGTTCAATGAACTGTACACTGCCTCACAAAAGAAATGCAGAAAAAACAGAACCTGAAAATTAACCACTTCAGCATCTAAATGTTCTTTAATTTAGAAGCTAATTGTATTTAAGGTCTAACTCAAACAAATCACTGATAAAACCAACAAAATTCTGGAGTTAGAAAGCCCAATGATGTATAATCCATTTCACTAATAACACATATGATAAATGTAATGAACTTTTTATATTAATAGGCATAATCCGTTTAACAAGTTATAATAAAATATAAAATTATATAAAAACCACCAAACCTAAATTATTTCATTGTGGAAGAGATCCTTTTGCACCACCCCACACTTCCCATCACCCCGCAGATGCAAGTAGCCATCTCATATACCTTCTCCTGACAGTTATGTTAGCACAGGAACTTCGCTCCAGAGGCTCTTGAACACGATAAACCGACTGAACAAAGGCTACTGTACCATAAGGATTATCATTGGCAGGAATAAAAATATTTGCCACTCGATCTAACCCAATAGTACCTCCACCAGAGGCATCAGCCAGTTGCACTTGGATAACCTAAAAATACAGTGAAAACTTCCTTAACAGAATCCCAGTTGTGAAACTAGAATAAGAATGATGCAGGAAAAAAAAAAAATCAAATATATCCATACAAGAACAAAATGAAATGTAACATAAACAGAGTCAAAGGAACTCCTCCCATTATATTTACAAAGTCAACATGTAACAGAATAATCCATAATGAACTTTTAATAATAGAGCATAACTATACATAAGAAATATAGGCTATCTGAGTTCCTTAATATTCAGTTACATTATCTTGTGAATCAGTTTTAAGATCCTGTTTATGTTTGCCAATTCAATAATTTACTTTCATGTCCTATACCATTTTTATTTAGAGAAAATATTGCATATATATTTTATGAATAATCTATTATGCTTTATTTTCAACATTCTCTTAAATGGAAATACTCTGACAAGATTTAAAACAAAATATATCATATCATAATGCCACCTAAATTTAGAGAGAAAAGAAAAAAATCTTATAGATATAAACTAACATCTAATATTTTAAGAGTGAATAATGACACAATTATCATTCAAGTGAAATTTTATAGCCATCTCTTCTATGAAAATTTGATACCGTTAAAGAATAAATGCTATTAAATGTAATTTTAGAAGATCTAGGCTTTATTAATACTTGAATTTCATAAAATAATCTTCAGGCAATATATGTTAGTGATGAATCAACTCTCCCACTAAGACTATTTTTATTTGCCATCTTGTTTTGTCGCCATGAAAAATAAATATCAGGCAGATATATTTAGCATGGTATTTGTCACATAGTAAATTCTCAACACTGTTGAAAAATAAATGAATGAATTAGTAAAAAATCAAAATCTAACTTAAGATTGGCCCACCTTCAAGCCAAAAGGCAGAATGGATACAAATTAAGAGTTTATATGGAACAATGTAGCAAAAATTATGACAGATGAGTATGTATTTAGTCATTTAACCAAAATTTTGAAAAATACAATGTAATTGTATTAAAAAAAATCTTCCACCAATAAACTGGTGTGTGTCTAAGACCTATTTCTAGAATATTCTTGTTTTCATTATCTGTAAGGATCACTTTCATACTTCCATATTTTGAACATTCTTGCAGGATTTATTTGAAATCCTCTATAAATGTCACAATAAGAGCCATCTGTTCTAGTCACTATAAGACAAGGTATGATTTACAGTGTCATCTATACTAGCCATTCCTCTCACCTCTTCAATCTCCGGAACGTCGTCAGCCAGGACCTCTAACAACAAGGTTTGAATGGTTTCCCCAGGGGCAAAGGTCACATTACCTGAGACAACTCGCAGGTCGCCAGTAGCAAGCTGTCCATTAATGGTGGCAACCCACTGAACAGTAACATTGCCGAGTGTCCCAGAATTTCGAATTATTGGCAGGTTTACCTTCACTGAGTTAAACTCAGGTTCCTCTACAATAAGTTTAGTAACCTGAAAACCTGAAGGGCAGAACAGAGTTAATTTCAAATACAAAATGATACTGAGTCAACATAGAGCTATCAAACTCACATCCTCTAGTCACTTTTTCCCCCCTTTAAGCAATCTAAGTAGCTAAACCCCATAAAATCAGAGTAACATGCTGTGATACAAATTGATCAGGCCTGCTAACATTGCCAAAGTATTTTTCATTATGATAGAAACAGAAATCACAAACGCAGACAGATGCCCACAGGAGTCAAGCATATGCCAGTCGTGAGTGAAGTGGGTCTGTGAGTTCTGTGGCTAACTCTACAGTGCAAGCCTGGTCCAAAGGAACAGTTGCTATCTGGCTCCCAGGACTGATGCTATGCAGGAAAAGGGGCTCAATGTTGCCCAATTTTCCTACTTATCGAGAAAGCCCTGAAAT